TATCTTGCTCTCCCCTTCTTTTCGTCGAGCTACAATGTCATTCCATCAAGGGTGAAGCCCTTGTGGTGGAAAGTCTCCATCTCAATCGTTGTTCGTCCTATTTATCTATTATCTCTGATCATATATTAATTCTGTCGCTCCTCAACACAGATTGGCATGAAACTGTATAAACATGGACGGCAAGAATTTTAAATAAAAGCTAAAAATAATGATTGAAGATGCGAGATATCGTACCTCTTGCATGCTAAGCGAACACTCTACCATCTGAATTACATCCCCACATGCCTATAAAGTTTTAATGAACATAAATATTCATACTAAAAAATAAATACAAATATTAAAGAAGAGTTTAAATACAAATATTAAAGAAAATAATAATTTTTATTTTTGTTGGTAAAAGATAAGTAAATATTATATTTTTATCTGCTGAACTAGCAAACACTTTTAAACCCATTTTGGTTTTGCTAGTTATAATGTTACGAAGAAACTTGGAATTTGCATGTAAATTTCTCTCAAAAATTACCAATTACATTTTTAAGATTCATCCTTAATTAGAAGCAGAAATAATCATGAAGGATTGAATTGAGGGTTTACCATGTGGTTTTAACACTTAAACCTTTGACACAACAGTGGGGTCGGTTAATCACTACGAAGGCTGCGATGGCTTCAGAAACAATCGGTCAACAATGTTGTCCCCTTATCAGGATCAACTTCAAGAGTAGAAAGACTCACCCAAAATAAAATAGCCTTAATTCTTAAGCCACACAGAAGAGAACCACTTCATAGGGAAAAGAAAGCAACAAGCACATGAACCCCAATACCTCTGCTTTTGGGTATATATTTATAGCAGGAACAGATCGGCTAGGCAAACCAGATGGTAAAGGCAAAGCAAACATCATCATAGGATAAAAGTGGTAACAAAGCTGTTTCGACCATGTACATCATTGAAAACTGCTTTTGAACAAATAACAATTCATTCCCGAGCCATCCAGAAATTTGTCCGATGAGAGGTTAGAGAAGTAAAAGATCGAGTTTTAAACCCCAGCGAATTAACATCATATCGAGGTCATCGCAACGATTCTCCGTAGCCTTCCTATAAGACTATGGGATCTTACAGACTTCTCTGGAGGAGTTTCTAGATGTACAATAACATTCTAAAGTTCTGACCAGATGACCCCCAAGGAAATGCAGGAAAAGAACGAGTTCAACTTCTCTCATTGACCACATCAAAGATGAGAATAAAGATCACTGAGCTGGTTCTTCTTTTGCTTGTATCATTGTGCTTATGGAGGGCTTTAGTCAATCCATCTGACTACATATATCATTGTGCTTCGAGTAGTATGTTCGTGGCTACATTTAAGTCATTTCTAGCCTGCATTAGTGCCTGCCTTGCAGCGTTGCCGTCAAACCCCATGGACACCAATGTAGCAATAGAAGACTCTGGTGGCTCTGGCATAGAAATATGTCCAACTGAAGAATAGTTATGCTGCACCAGAAGCAAGAAGATAAACCACTAATTATTAGTCTGAAAGTGTAAGATGGTCCCAAAGATGTGTCTACTTCTTACATGCTTTAAACAACTCTCACCTCAACGGACTTTTCTTTGGAGAATATGAAAACTACAACCAAACTACGAAGGCCTGACATCTATTTTGCTTAATGAAGATAATTGTAGATATTCTGAATGCTGTGGAGTCTCTTTTTACTGAAAGAAGCAAGTCCTCTTCCTATTGTCTATGTTAGATGATCTTTTCTACACAATAACTGGAGACCGTGCTGGATAATAGTTTAGTAAAAAAGAATTTTATAGTTTTCTTTTGTTTACAGGAAATCTTGATCTCTCGTGTTTCAACATGCTTTCCAACATTTCGTACAGAAACCAGTAGATTAAGGTTTCATATATGTGGTTGATCACAAGCTCCTGAATTCTTCAAGTTTGAAGAACACCATTTCTTGTCATAGTTCTTTCTGATGACTCAACCAGAAGCAGCTCCAGAAACAAAATGCTACAAGAGTAGATGGGTAATAGAAGAAGCAGCAAATGAATTTAAAACCAACTAAAGTATTCCTATCGGCAACAAACAGTTTAAATATACTTGGTGATGAATAAACTCAAGTTCAATCCCCAGCAATAACATGTTCCGAAGATAGAAATGCATATATCATTTTTCTGACCATCTTAATAATTTATAACTCATTTCAATTACATCTTCCTTCCAAGGTCAGATTCACATAAATGGCATGATATAAATAGATGAGAATATCTGCATGCACTCGAAAGGAAATTGATTAACTATTAAAACATCATTAGTTAAATAATCATGATCAAAGAAACTCAGCATAGTAATTGAACCTGTTATACAAAGAAGCTGCTGTAAAAATTTATAGATGAGCCTAAAGTACATATACTGGAATATGATTGCTAGTTTCTTGGCAGCAACAACCCACAAGTAACAATTATTTTTGGAATATATGGTTCTTTGTAATACACCAACAGTTTTTTATCATGTAATGAAACCTTAGCTTGTGACATGAGTGAATAATGTTTTAAATGTATATTTCAAAAGAGAACAAAGTAGGAGTTTCCAATTAGACAGTAGAAACATTAGAAAAAGGGTTTTCTACATAAACAATAAAAAAATTCATTTCTTAAAGTGTTCAACCTAAAACAACAAAAGAATCACAGACACATTGGCCATGGTACTAGATTAGGTCAACTTCCACTATCTCATTAAGCCCAACTACACCCACCCACCAGCTAAATGAAGTTTCCCAACTCAGAAAATATACGTTCCCTAACATGCCAAACAAATGGAGATTGAGATGGTTATACTATGATTTTTTAACTAAAAGAAGTCAACTTGCTACCTCCTCAAGCTCAAGGGAATCAAGACCCTGGCATGTATAAACCATGCGTCGGGATTTATTGGTTAAAACAGGTAGAATCAGGTGAAGTGCATAGGCACACGAATTAACCACCATTAGAGTATGTTCAAGTTCAACACAAGAAAGGAACAGAAGATACTTGCCTGGACTCGATGGTCAGCATAAGGCACACGTGCATTTCTTCTGATATTTGCAGTTGAATTATGTGTTGAACTTGTTGAAGAGGACAAGAATAACCTTGAAACCACTGATGCAACCTTTTTAGGGAACTGCACATGATCCAACTAATGGAATTATCAGGAATTGAAATTCAATAAAACAAATCAGCTATATGAGAGGTCTTAAGTGATTTAGAACTAAAAAACATATAACAGTGATACCAAATGGAAATGCAGCTCCTAAACAAAGAAGATTGCATGCTTGAGCTGATTTAAATTATGATGGCTTCAGAACAGTCCAAGACAACTCTGTTTTAAATGATTAAATTTTTCCAAAGCATAAAAAACAGACTTTTCCCAAAGGCAATATATCCATTCTTGTTCTGCTATTTTGGAATTTATAAATATTTAGTCCTGGAATCCTTACCTCAACATGCTGTGAATGTGACTCATAAATATAGCTAGATCATAGAATTGGTGTACGTATAGATTGCAGAAGATCTGTTCTAGTTAAACTTCAAAAATATTTTGTATGTAGCAGTGAAAATTTAAGTATCTGGGATCTGCACTACAACCTTTGGTCAACTAAAACTATCTTGAAACATGCAGTCACCTCGGGTTAAATGAAAATTTTAGCTAGTAGAAAACAGAACATAAAAAAAGTAGAAAAATTTAAGCTAATAAAGTAATAAGATGAATTGTTATAGATCGATCAGGGTTCAGCTAAAGTGTTAAATTGATTTAGATGTTTTTGTTTATCAACTGTCATAAGAGCAATGAATTTGCAAGAATAATATTGATCCACACAAAAATGGTTTTAAGTTTCAGCAAAATTAGTCATCTTTCCATGAAATAAATCACTTTGCTCCGGCTAATACTAAAATGCTGATTTTGGATCTCAACGAGTTTCTGCTGATACCCATAAAAGCTGACGTGTATTTTATTTTCAACAAAACAGGAAGAAACTAACTCAAAAGGATCGAATTTATGGCTGTTCTCATATGAATATCAGGTTCAGTGAATCTAGATAGCTGCATAGCGCCATGGAAATTGCCTGGTTAATTAATCAAATCAGCAAAGCTTAACAGTATCTGAATTAAGTAGCATTCGAATAAATTCTTGCTGTTGTTTCAACTTTTGGCATTTCTTAAGCTCAATGTATTGGATTTTCCATTAGTTCAATTCAAAAAAAAGACTGCTACGGTACTGGATCAAATACCTTGTTCAGTTCTGTCTCTGAACATTGTTCTTTATTTTTTTTTTTCCTTACTAATTCCTAGCTAATTCTCATTTGCTACACCTGTTAGGAATCAAAGGAACTTTTGGATCTCAAGTATTGGACAGCAACAAATTCATCTTGCATGGTTTATTCTTACCAAACCCTTAGCTAAGTTGAAATTCATTTTCTATTACAGAATACCAGCACAAGTTTTTTGCATATTAAACCAAATAGCAGCTTTTATCTCCCTCTGGAAACCCTTCCAGGCATCAGGTATAACAATAACATCAATTTCTATCCAAAAGGTTGAATATCTATATATTTCTTACAGCCAACTGTTTATCCTGCAAAGAACATGTAATGACTGAAACGTTCAAACAAATAAGGGTGTCCATGAAGCTCAATAGTCCAAAATCTTACCCAAGTCCAGTCCAAATTTCCTAGTATGGGTTCTTAAATAGTGATCTGCTAAACTACACAGCAGAAACTGGAGCTTAGATCCATATCCAATAGTGTTTATATATCTGATAACCACACTTGGATGCTGCAGTTCTCCATCAGATTTAGGTTCGACTCCCAGGTGGACCCAGAGAGATAACATCAATAAATAAACAAACTCAGGAAAATATCTTTCATGTAGTTTTTCCCTTCTGATTTCAAATCAATAACACATAACTGATTTCAAATCAATAACACAATATAAGGATGATGCATGGTTCAAACTTTGTTGGTGCTAGCCGCAATTATATTCATTCTCTAGCCTTAGTGCCTTTCAGAAACTTTAATCCATAAAATAATATAGTAGGCTTGTTCCATGTATTTTATCTGTAAAAGGTGAACCTAGTACACAAGACTCCCACCAAATCAAGACCTGAAAAGGATCGATGCGTACAATCTTAACTTTATAAATAGAGAGGGTATTTCCGTGACTCACAACTTGACATCCTGATCACCCAAGATGCAAAGGAGCAATCTTACCTCTATCTGTATGTAGGATTTTTAGCAATTAACACCTAAAGCCACTGAGTCAAACTACGGCAACAACATTTTCTAGCTTAACAAGAATTCAGTCTTACCATGTTATTAAAAGTGCTGGAATTGCTAGAACTTTGTTTGACCAATCACAACCAAACTGACTATGCAGACTTTGGTAAAAAGAGTGTTAGTGTATGAAAGAAGTGGATTTTCAATTAGTTATGAAGGATTCAAAACTGTAAAACTGATTTTCCTGCAAAATTCTTGGGAAAGAAAACTAACTTAGCCAATTTTTACTCTACCTCATTGTTTGGCATATTAGTAATTCAGCTTGGTTACCATGAAATAGGCCAAGAAATAAGGAAATCCTGCTTTTGACGATTGAAAGTGACAAGAATTAGTCATAATCAGCTGACTCCAACTATATTAATCCATGCCTACAGATTTTTAGAAGAATGTCCAGAACACTATTTTTTAGAGAACAATAAAAAACCACAGTTTACAACTACGTAAAAAAAGGTGTCTAATTACGATAATGTGACCTTGGAATTGAGTTAGAATGATTTTTAACCTGAACTATTTACTGTCTCAATGGACTTCTTATTTTTCTTAATTTTACAGGACAGATTTTTATTCTACTTTATTTTTCTAAAATTTTAAAATTTTGCAGCTAACATACTGAATGGTCGATCCAATTTGATCAAGCTGACTGATCTAGTCCTAGCATGATAACCAAGTTCCCCTATCCACATACACACTAGATTTAATCCCTTCATTTATTCTACTTTCATGTCTTAAAATAACAGACGAATTTCATTGGTATTCAATTTGCTTCTTTGGGATTTCATAGGCTGTACAATAGGACTGTGAACATAAATGAACTCCCATGTATTGCCCATGAAGTACATGTTCAGCTATGCCCAATAGATCTACCTATCATTGCTTGGATACAGAAAAGAGAAACCACATGAACTTTTCCCACAGCTTGTTTGCTTGAAAAATCAGCTTGATGCAAAGTGAACAGCAGTAGAATTCATTAATAGTGCATAAATTTAGAACTATATTCAAAGGGATACTTGTGATAACCTTTAGCCTCCGAATGCCAAATGCATTAACAAAATAAAGAAAACCAGCAAGAACACCACACATGCCTGGTATAAATGACCATTTCCAGCCACACAAAAGAAGCTGGTGAGAAAACAATCGAGTAAGAAGCAGTAGTCATGTAGAGATATAAAACATAGAAAGAGACGAAGAGAAGTTTCTATACCTGAAAGCCTACAAAGTATACGATAGACTTGTCAGTAAAGTTTATCCCAAGCACACGGAATCGTGACATAACAGGGACATCAACAAAAAAGGGTACAAATGCAGCAAATATAAGACCATATGGTCCAGATGCAAGAACATGAGAGTCTGCCGCAAACATAAATAAGAAAAGAACAAGTTAATATCAGAATATCAACAACAACAAAACTGTTAAGTTCCAACTATTTGGGATCAGTTACATGGACCTTAACTAAGTTAGTATCGAAAATTAAAAAATAAAACGTAAGCTAAATGCTGCACAAGATGGAAGAAACATGAAAACCTTTCACAACACAATAATTAAATTCAAGTTCATAAATAATATATGCTATGAAACTCAGACGATATAAGCATATTTAAGTACTTAACCAGACAACTTAAACATTCAATCAGTACTGAGAGACAAGATGCAGAAAAATTAGGTAACTCTCATCAAAGAAATCAAACCTATGTGCAGTCCAGTTGTGAAGGTCTTAAAGTGTGACACCAAGGCACAACTATGTATCATTACCATATCACTGTCCAGCTTGTGTCGCTAGCCAAATACAACTGCGACATAATGTCTTACTGTCACAACCCAGGCCTGATGGGCAAACTGGTCTATCAACTTCGTTTGGCCTAGACCATTGGCCAAGATGCTTAAGCTGAAATTGATAGTACTACACTCATCATACCCTTATAAGTCGGTCTTAGTCCTTACCTACTTCTGATGTGGGAATAATTGGAGTGTTATAATCTCCCCACTCAAGGGCTTAGCATCCTCGTCAAGGCCTAGCATAAGCCATATCAAACCCTAGCATGGTGCATGTGAGGCGTAGCCCAATGGTGGCTCCACTCTGTGATGAGTTCTTTGACTCCATCCATGGATAGCCCCTTCCTACTTGAGCCCTCTTACCTTGCTCAATTACTAGGTCGACTCTAATATAAAATGTCACGACTTGGGCCTGATAGGTTAACTGACCCATCGATTTCGCTTAACATAAACCACTAATTAAAATGTTTAGGTTGAAGTTGATAGTAGTACACCGATCAGACCCTTATAAGTCAATTTTAATCTTGTCCACCTCCATTGTGGAACTAATCAGGGGTATTACTCTCCCCCACTCAAGGACCGCTATTTTATTGTAACAGCTCAATTAATCTCATATCGGAAGTGAGCAAAGACTAAGATTGACTTATAAGAGTCCAAAGAGTGTACTATTATCAACTTCAGCTTAAGCATTTTGGCTAATGGTCTGGGTCAAACGAAGTTGATAGGCTAGTTCGCTTATCAAGCCCGAATCATGACATTTGATATCAGAGCCGACCTAGTATTTGAGCATAGTATGGGGGCTTGAGTAGGAAAGGACTATCCATGGATGGAGTCAGAGGACTCGTCACGACGTGGAGCCACTACTAGGCTACGCCTCACATGCAACATGCTAGGGTTTGACCTAGGCTATGCTAGACCTTGACGATGACGCCAAACCCTTGAGTGGGGGAGATTGTAACACCCCCGATTAGTTCCACATCGGAAGTGGGTAAGATTCAAATTGACTTACAAGGGTCTGATCGTTGTATTACTATCAACTTCAGCTTAAACATTTTGACTAGTGGTCTTAGTCAAACGAAGTTGATGGGCCAGTTAACCTATCAGGCCTAGGTTATGACATTTATAGAAATACATTTTTTATATAATGTAATTAGAAAGTACATATATGCAAAATCTTTGAGGTAACAATTAAATGCACGGTGATTCAGCTTAGATTCGTTGTACGTATAGCTGATGTTTATATCTAGTTCAGATCCAATTCATAGTTTTCCATTTTCTAAATTATTTTTAGAGCTTGTCATCCTTTTCATTGTAAGGAAACAATCCAGTTTTGATAATTAAAGGGATAGTTCTATTATAGGAAGGATTAGGAGTCTATAATCATTAATATTAATAACACAGTCCAGATATTTTTGTTTACTATTTCTTTACTTTTCTTTGGAATCTTCATGAGAACAGAACTCTTATCAATGATGCATTGAATACCACATCTTAACTATTGTTCAGACTCAGTATTTGATGGAACAAGAAATGTTAAATTTTAATTCTCTAAAGGTGGCCAATAGGACTCCTCTCTGTGTTGGGTATCTATAGTTGTATGTGTCCTCATGTCCTCTCATGCAACTCTACTCCATTCTCTCTCTCTCCTTTCAATATCTCTAAACAACAATTCAATCTTCCTTGTATCTCGCTCAGAATTCCTCGAACAATAGTATCTCTCCTTTATCTCCATTATCCAACCTTATCTTCTCTCTCTACCTATCGGATATTGATTATCTTGAAACATAATCACTATGAAGTCCTTCACTAATGCTATAGCTAACAAATTTGTATTGGAATCAGGATTGATTAAGGATGATATGACCAAGATCCCAGAATCAATCAGATCAAACCAGCATCATTGGGATTACTGAAGTATACAATGTAACAAAATTAAAACATCAACAAAAATAGCATCATTGGGATCCCAGAATCAATTGGTTCAACCCAGCATCACTGGGATCACTCAAGTATATACTTTAACAACATAAAAACATAATAAAAAATAGAAAACCACTGAAAAAATATAAATAAAATTTATAGAAACTAAACTTACTATATGCTTAAAGATACTTGTAGTGTCAAGTTTCATAATTTAAAAGTCATATGAAGATACAAGGATAATAACGAAAAATAATAAAATTTAATACAACAGATAATAAATATGAACAATTTATTAGAAAATAAGCATTTGCCATATCATATAAAGACAAATAACTACTATATAGGTCATTCAAAGGACCCTATACTGATCAACTTGTAGCTTTGGCTTTCGAGTGTAACAACCACCCCATTATGGCTCTAGCACTTCCCTAATCATCATGTAGATGAAATGTAAGGTAATGCAAAGGAAAAAAAACAGAATTATTTGAAGAAAGCACCCACAAAACATTTGAGATTAGTGTTGAATCTCATTATATTCTCCCTTTTCTATGATGAATGACAAAAAGTAATACTTGTAAACAGTAAACACAATATTAGCAATGTCTTCTCTTCTGTTTCACAGTCATAGTCACAAATTTCATTTTTGTCTATCTTCCATCTCAACATCTCTCTTCTCTTTTGCTCCTATTTTGCTCCGATGCTGTCAAATTGCCTGGAAGTGGTCAAAGTCAACCAACCTGTGTTGAATTTGATTAATTCAATCCTGTCCCAACTAATTTCTAACAATATGGCTTAGAAACTGGCCAAAATCGAATCAGCCTCGGACAATATCGATACAGATTGATGTTGTATCATTTCAAAATAGGCTTAATATCCAAGTATAGCTAAAACTAATAAGTCATAAGAATGTAACAAGTGATATTAAATATGTCCCTCCATCTTTCATACATGAATACCAAAAATCTTCAAAATTGAAGATAACAAAAAAGGGATCTATTTAGCATCAATAAATTGTTTACCAGATCTAGTGTTCAAAAAGGTCAATGGCTACAGGAGAATAGGTCATAGAAGTGGTAGCTAGTGATATGATCAAGTAATAGCCACGACTAAGCCTTCAAACTAGCTAGAGCACAAAGAAAAAAAATTATGCATTTGCTATTTTGAGTATTGCATACCTTTTAGAAGTGCCAAAGCTAGGATTTCAAAAAATGTCGACGCAACTATACAGAATAGAACAAACACCTGCATGTTTTTATGACTATTAAGTGAGCGACACCATTCTCAACACATTCCTTTGATCGAGTATATAGTTACATACTCTAGCTGAAAAGCTACAGCAGAATATAGCATTGATGAAACAAATGTGACAGAAAAAGGGGGACAATCACTACTTACTGAGTACTTGTTAGAGCCTATCTGTCTCTCGAATACTCTGAAGTAATATAGCAAATAGAATCCAGCAACTAACTCTGGAATTGATGAGAAGGCAAATACTGAGGGAATAGCCTTCAAAAGATCATGGTTTTCAAAAATATCCTGCATAACATTTGCTTTAAGTCAAATTGATGGTATCACAGGCGACAACACAGGAAAAGATGTGAGAGCATTCTTCTAACTACTTTTAACATCAAGAGATATTAGTACTACTAATTCATATAAACGATCTACCAGCTACCTCAGATGGAGTAATATGAAGCAGGCGTAGTATATAACACTCATCAATGCTCAATGTATGATGAAGTAACTATAAGATTTTCAAAAAAATTCCTAAATCAAACTATAGTAACACACCTAAAATTGAGATCCACTATATTCGGATATCTAATTTTCTATACATACATAATTACAAGCTGCAAATACTAACAATTTGGGGCTACATCCTTCCCAGCCACTGAGTTCTATTAAGCTCAAAAACTGCATTGTATACTCCTGACTTGGGTTATCTTAAACTAAGATCAGAAATATTTAATAGGTTAATATAACATAGGTTCTGCACAATAATGACAATCCTGGAGAATAGACCAATATATGTTGTTAAATCAATATTCAGCACCACAAAGAAATTAATTCAAAAGCTCTAACAGATTCATAGATTCTGACAATCCATAGATCCAACAATTCAAGAAATGGATCAAATAGAGGAAAAGTGAGCCACAATGGACGATTGAAAAAATGAATATAAAGACTGGGACTCCAAAAAATTAAAATGAGTATCTAATCCCAGTCTGGCTGCTCCGATTCTATCAAATACAATTAACAAAGAATTTACAACTCATTCCAAAGAGATCTTGCAGTTCAATACTACGGATAATATTTTAATAGGGAGAGTACTCAACTGATCTAAGAAACCAACGATTAAAGAAAACAAACAGAGGACAAATTTCCGAGTAAGCATTCCACGCCGAACTCGCAATTCAATGTCCCGTGTAATTGATGTATACGTCCAAGAAAGCAAAAGAAGACTTCATGCAATTGATCACATGAAGTAACCTACCAGCAGGCTAGCATAGTACAACAAATTGCATGACTATGTTAAGTATGCTATCATATTTATCCAAACTAATAAACCCACACCAAAACCAGAATAAATCATGACCACCCATTTATAGCAAGCAGAAACAGAATTTTTTCATGACTGAGCACAAATGTCTTCAAGATAATATTACAACTGTCAGCCAGAACATACTTCTCATAGAGACCTTAACTATGACAAAGCTGTACATATGCTGTGAAGCTCATAATAGGTAATTGATGACAAACAAGAGAAATATCACATAAAATGATTGACAAAATTAATTTGCATTTTTCTTTACAGCATTAATATTCCTTATCCTCCTTTCCATTTTTAATCTTCATCACCCTCACCCTCACTTCTCCTTGCATCATCTCCAAAAGGCATCTTTCTTATTCTTTGTTCCTCTCCAACATAATTCTTCTCAGATGATAAACTAGATTTTATGCTCCAACTCATCTACTTTAAGTTCATAATGGTCCTCAAATGGGGATAAAAAACTAGGCAATTTCTGGTCAAGGTGTCTTATCCATGCTGTGAAGTAAAATGGACAAACCTAGCGTTAAAATGCCTAGATTCATCAAGCACAATCTAGACAACATATAACTGTTCATAGTAAATTAAATATAATTTTGTAAAGCCTGAGCTCAATTTGCATCAGCCTGCTTAAGGCCTAGGTTGACACAGAAACCAAGAAAGTCAAGTAAACTTATCACCCACCCTGGTAATATCTACAAGTTGGTATGTGTCTAATATATTACTTTAATAACCAATCATGCATCCTGGTGGCATCTGTGAAATCATATACAATTTGTTGTTAGTGGTGGCACTTGATTGGTGCTCAAAGTTTTGCCTCCTTTTTCCAAAGAAAACCCTAACCATCAAGTATGGGTAAAAGTAAGCATGGTTCATCAAAATATTTTAGGTTTTCAAGAAGTATCTTCATCCAAATATACCAAGCAACTACAATAAAAAAACCCCAGGGCCTACCACACGCTGAGTCAAGGTTGCTCGTCGGCATCATAACTGAAATCAAGTCCAATGATTTTCTAGTAAATTGACCTACTTAGATGGAATTCCCAAATAGCTACTACTATTATTATTGTTACATTCAACTGAAAGCAACCGAGATGAAGAAGAAGAGCCGATTGGGATTCAATTCATGGAAGCCACTAAAGATACCAAGAAGAACCTTTCAATGCTTACTTCTGAGAGATCAACTAAGAGGATTTTTTATATCTTTTACTTTTTAGGCATTAAATCAAGTTTCCTATATGTCAAGGTAAGTTTTGGATCTGGATCAAAAATACATGCTATAATATACTACTGTTGAGAAAATTTTGTGTTTCTTTCTTTCTCAGGAGACACTCGGAAATAGCAACCTACAAAACTTTCTCAGGATAGCAGAATGGCAGCATGCAACCAGTTTGTCCTCTAACATCACTATAGCATGCATGACTCGAGTTTAAGATCTGCAAGAGTGACAACAGTTGCAACGAATGCCCTGTACCACGTGGGCATTAAAATAATCATGTTAGACTGGTTTGATCAACCCATAAAAATGAATTAGGACAACTTTGACCATGAAAATCTTCCTACATATCTATTTCCACACTGTTACTGCATTTTCAACCCATTGGTATTTGCATCTACTGGCAATTAAAAGGCAAATACGTGGAAGTACTACATTCCTATTATATCATTCGTGCGTAAAATAGCAACCAAAATCCAACTGAATCAGAAGCCAGAATTTGTCAACCCTAAGCAAGCTCCATCAACACATTCCCTATAAAAGCCACAAGCACACTTCTTTTTGCCCTCTAACCTAAAGTGACTGCCAACTCATTCAAAGCGCTGCCTAATTTATGATCACATAAAGCACGAAGAATTGGGGACTCAAGAAAGGGAACCTGGAACGACAATCCGAGTCGACGGGGCCGGCCGGAAACCGCAGAAGTGACCGAGAGGACGGCGCTGGTTATCACAAGGGTCCGCGTGACCGGTGCATTGCCTGCGAGAAGAAGAAGTACACGGCGGGAGGAGGGTTTCAAGAACCAAGACTACGGAAAGAAATCATCAAGAGAGGAGGAGGGACGAAGAAGGAATCGAAAGAAGATGCAGAGGGTTACGGAATCCGGTCGGTCCAGCGTGCATCATGGATCGCCAAGCGAAGCAGATCGAAGTCTCTTTCCTTCTCGCCTCGAATCGTCGACGGAGAGAACCCAAGAAGGAGAGAGGAAGAAGAGGAGGGAGGTCTTATTTTATTGGTATTGTTAGAAACTACACAGCGAGGCGGAGAGACTCTCGTCTGTTGGTCCGGGGGATTAGGTTGGGTCGGGTCAACTGTGAGGCTTTGGACTTTTAAGTCTCGGGTCATCGCCGTCCTACGTGTACCGATTCTGGTCAACAGGATTGTGTGACTTATGTTGGTAAACGTTGGGTGGATAACTATTGAGTCGAAATTATTTGATATGTTTCGTTAACTAATCGTATTTAAATTTATAAAAATAAGGGTGAATTTTTGAAAAAAAAAAATCTATCTTTAAAAAATTCTTGCGGAACACCCCATATCTAAGAAAGCTATTTTACTCTTGCACCACCGCCCTCAATAGCCCTTGTGTCACCTCCGTCTTATCGGACTTGTCCCTACCCATCTTGCCCTCATGTGAGCAAGGGTGCATGTGGTCGTTGTCATCGGTTGCAAGGGAGAAAGGAGGGGGGTGGGCCACTCTCATCACCATTGAGTCTAATAGGGATAGATGGGGATCGTCACGTGGGTTTGGCTAAGACGGAGGCCTTGCCTTATTACAAGCGAAGGGGTCATGGAGACACGCCTTCGTCATTAGGTGTGTTTGGTGGAAGCAAATGCTTTGCCCTTATCGATGCACCTTTGTGGAATGAGACATTGTCTTTAGCGAGGAAGGAGGGGTCACGAAGGCTACGATGATGATGACAACCCATTCTGAAGTAGGTTTGATGAGATAAAGGGGAGAGAAGACAATAATCATAGACTTATATGGAATTGCCTAACTCATTAGGCACCATTAAATTATTCGTTCATAAAAGGTTAAGAAAGTTGAAACCTTGTTTGGATGTTGAATGACATATGAAAGAGCAAATTGATTAGTTCAAAGAATCGAGCAGTGGATAAGTCTCAATAGTCTCGCAAAAAGAATAACTTTACAAGCAAATTAGTAAACACTTAATATATAATAAAAAATAAAGACGTTAGAAGGTAAATAAATAATCGTAAGTCTACAAATGACTGCTCATTAAGTGTCAGCATATTGATAAGTTCCTGTAGACTTTATGTGCGAACTTATGAATCAAATCAATACTTGACACAACCTAAACCCTTATCCAACCCTACGCTATCTAGGTGATTCTAGGATACTGAGATAGTTGATATTTTGCATCGTACAATAGCTTGTAGAAAACAGTTCATAACACATCAAAACTATATCATTTTGGGGTAATTTTATTCATTATGATAAGTGGTTGTTATGTAGTTCTACAAATTATTCTTATTCATATTTTCGAAACAAAAATACATTGCCAAAAGTCTCGCATATGTGCAATTGATACAATAGTGAAAGTAGTGTAGGGCGAAGACAGTATAGGTGAAGTAAAATGATCGTTTATAAAAAAATATTTTGTATAAAATTTTTAAAGTCGAAGCATTATGAAAGAATTTTACAAAGATATGATTTTTTTTTTAATTCATCTTTCATCCATTCAAATCATTCGATATCCGATCAAGTAATATATAAATGATCTTCTAAACATATATGTGAGAATAACAACAAACAAATATCTCTTTTTCCTTTTTTTTAAAAGAAGGGGATAAGTCCATGATTTACCCATCAAACATCCAACGAGTTAGTAACAATTTAAATTGGACTAATATAAAAAAAAATCAAATTTGATCAAAAGATATCCGAATTCACTTTAAGCGAATCAAATATACACAACACATTCAAATAAAAAAAACTTGATTAATTATATTGACATTTAACATCACAACAAATAGAATTAGTAGGCACATATAAAGCCTGGATTACATCAATTAGTTAATGTTAAAAAATAATAAATTAAACTTTCAACTCACTAATTTATTTATTTTATTAACTTGACATTCCTATCTTTTTATTACGACGAAGAAATAGAAGAAAATAAATAAAATTATTATTTTATTTATTACACTCTCTTAACGTGTGCTGTTCGCGCTACCTGTCATTATTGTTTTATATTTTCAATAATTATATTTAAAATAATATCTATATGTTTCATTTTTAATATTATTTATTAAATGTACGGTAGGATTGGTTGAGCCGCCGACCGATTTTATTGGGCCCAAAGCAGCCCAATTTAGGCCCGTTTTGAGAGCCCAACAAGACCGGCATCGCCCGATTCTATATATGCGGAGTTAGGGTTTAAGGATCACAGGCTATAAGCTATCAGCGGAGCGGAGGCTCAATCTTGAGCCACCGTCACAGTCTTGGGGTTTCTCCAACTCGGCGGCGGTCTGTGTGATCCTCTACGTTTAGTGTTTTTATATATCTTCCCACTCCTCCTCTTTTAGTTCTCTCTCGCCGTCGGAGGGAAACTGTCAGAACCGTCATGTGGGCGCTTCGCCGGGCGTTAAACCCCATGAGGTGATTTCCCTACCTCCTTGTCGCTGGCCGCATCCGTTGTCAGCTATCTCTTCCAAATCGTGATCAAAACTTGATCTTTTGAATCCTTTTTTCTGGTTTTGTCGAGAAAGAGACGCTATTTTGTGCTATCTTATTTGCTGCACTGATCAAGAAATTAGTCTATCACAAAGAAGCATTGTATGCTTGAGCTGGTTCTATGTAGTTTTCTTTTAGCTCGATTTCGTGCATATGTTTTAACATAAAGCTAATTCGTATGCAATGGTTTGTGAAGTTAATGTCATAGTGTGCTTCTAAACTGTGTTTTTTTGGCTTTCCATATAAATCTTTAGGCCTTATGGAGATTTACATTTCGTAGTGTGCTATTGATTATTGTTGAAGAACAGTTCTCTCCCTTATCTACTAACAGTAAAGTAACCGTCAGATTTGAGAAGTGCAATGAGTGAAGAGTCCCTGTATATGCAATCTGTCTAAACTTGAGGAGATTCTTTATAGCTTAGATATTTAGTTATGGTCATCTATTTTTGTGTTTATTGTTCCTTTTTCTGCCTCCATTTGATTAAGAATGTAACCGTTTGTAGTTGCATGCGTAGTTGATAATGTGAGGGACCAATCCATTATGATATGTAAATGTACTTTTTTTTTGTTTTAACGATCCCGGTCCTGATTAATTAATTAAGTTTGAGCATATATTCGTATTATGTGATAACTTAAAACTCGTTTGCTGATTTTTGTGTTAAAGATAAGGTGAAAGTTTTGATATCTTTCTACTCTAATCTCAGGGGTAACTGCAATGTTGTTGCACGTTGTTGTCGCATGAATTTACATGTAGCAAGTAGTAGCATAGATAATGGAGAATGCCATTGTGAGGAGGCTGGTATAAACAGGAGCTTCATCCCATCAAAGTCGGTTTCCTGTGGACCTATTTCTTTGAGGTCTTTCGTCTGGAGTCGAAATCTCTCTTCTCAGGTTGGACAAAAATCGAGTGACAAGGAAGATGATTTGGAGGATGGTTTTTCTGATCTGGAGGAACCACCAGAATCTGCTGAAGTTAACAATGGTTCAGACAAGGAAGATAAGGAGCTGATGTCCGAAGGAGAGTTATCTGAAGAATCTGATGAAGCTGCAGATAATTCATTAGGTTTGTTAGCTGTTGAATCAACCTCAAGTGAAGTGAAGGGGCCACAAAGACGGACACTCTATTCTCCTCTTTTCAAGACTATAATGGATTCTCCACGTCAATCATTGACTAGTGCACTTAATAAATGGGCCGAGGAAGGTAAACCTTTGGGACGAGAGGAAATCTCTTCTGCTATGCTGAATCTCAGGAAACGACGGTTATATGTGACTGCCCTACAGGTGATGCTTTTTCTTTGCAAATATTGTAGACTTCTTTGTACATGTGTCAATGAAATTTATAAAATATGGTAGTCAATTTGAAATTAGGTGATATTTTTTAATTTAAAATTAGTTGCTTTTATAATAGGCGGTATCCTGTAAAAGATAGAAATTCATGGTTTGATACTATCATTTGTTGTAGGATTGGGCTGATTGGAAGTATTTCACCAATCTGAAAATTGGATTGGCCATTAGGATTGTGTGTATGCTTGGTTTCTTTGTCTTGGCTAAGGTGCCTATGTTGGACAAATTTCTGTTTTGGTACCTAACATCTTTAACTTCACCAAATGAAGTTTTTTTTTTTTTTTTGGAAAGAATTTGCAATGTGAGAGGCCAAAGGTACAAAATCTAATATCTGTCCATTTTTTGATTACTTAAACAATGTCATGAGGTGTATATGGTCTTGACTTTAAGGATCCACTTGTGAAAGGTACTTTTTTTTTTTTTTACTTCAACTATTCTTGGTTAGCCATTTATAATTACCCCTGCATTTTTTATGAAGTTAAAAAAAATCATTTATACACCTGAAATAACATAATGCATATTTACTGAGATGCATGTATAAAAGTGGTGATACCAGTGCATGACGCCCTTGTCAATGTAGGGTGTGGGGAGGGACTATATATGCAGCCTTACCTCACTCGATGTTGGTCATTTTGATGCAAAGTAGCATCCTTACAATTGCACTAATGCGTTGTATGTATATATGAAAAATTTCAACTCAATAGGGTCAAATATGAATATGAATGCTCGTACTTTAGGGTATATATGCAACTTTCCCTTTGAACTCTGTTAGTCTACCTTGTGCTCTTTGGTTACTTGCAATTTTACCAACACTCAGTGTGTGCATATGAAAATTTTCAACTTCATTGGGTTAAACACGGATATGAATGCTAGTACTTTAGGGTATATATGCAACTTTGCCTTGCATGCTGATAGTCTACCTTGTGTTCTTTGTTTACTTCTGACAAAAGGCAAATTTTGTTGAGTTATTCCTGTTATATGCATTTTTCGATTGTTTTACATGCTAACAAAATCTTTTTTTGTTTTTGCAGTTCACGGAGTGGCTGGAAGCCAATGGACATATTGACTTTATAGAGCGTGACTATGCTTCTCACTTGGATTTGATTGCTAAGGTAAGCGGTCTTCAGAAGGCAGAAAAGTACATCGAGAAAATTCCAGAATCTTTCAGGAGTGAGGTGGTCTACAGAACTCTTCTAGCCAATTGTGCTGGTGCTGTCAATGTCAAGAAAGCAGAGGAAGTGTTCAATAAGATTAGAGATCTTGGGTTTCCGATTTCAGCATTTGCTTGCAACCAGCTGTTGCTGCTATATAAGAGGTTAGACCGTAAGAAGATTGCTGATGTACTCTTGATGATGGAAAAGGAAAATGTGAAGCCAACGCTCTTCACATACAAGATCTTAATAGACACCAAAGGCCGTGCCAATGATATATCAGGTATGGAGCAGATCGTGGAGACAATGAAGGCTGAAGGTATGGAACCTGATATCATGACCCAAGCTATGGTTGCAAGGTATTACATTTTCGCTGGTCTCAATGAGAAAGCTGAGGCAGCATTGAAGGAGATGGAAGGTGATGATTTCAAGGAGAATCGCAACGTTTGCAAGGTTCTTCTTCCCCTTTATGCTGCTCTTGGCAAAGTAGATGATGTAGGAAGAGTTTGGAAGGTTTGTGAAGCTAACCCACGTCTGGATGAGTGCTTAGCTGCAATAGAGGCCTGGGATAAGCTTGGGCAGATAGAAACCGCAGAGGAAGTCTTTGAGAACATTTCTAAGAAATGGAAGTTGTCCTCAAAGTACTATAATGCTATGTTAAAGGTCTATGCAAACAATAAGCTTCTGACCAAGGGGAAGGAATTGGTGAAGCGAATGTCCAACAGTGGTTGCAGAATTGGTCCTCTGACTTGGGATGCACTTGTGAAGCTGTATGTAGAAGCCGGGGAGGTGGAGAAAGCTGATTCCATATTGCAGAAAGCAGCTCAGCAAAATCAGAATAGACTTCTCTTATCATCTTACATGGCCGTGATGGACCACTATTCCAACAGGGGAGATGTCCATAATGCAGAAAAGATATTTCACAGGCTGAGGCAAGTTGGATATATTGGCAGAATGAGGCAATACCAGTCATTACTTCAGGCCTATGTGAATGCAAAAACTCCAGCTTATGGATTTAGGGAGAGGATGAAGGCTGATAACATGTTCCCTAACAAGGCTCTAGCAGCACAACTGGCGGCTATTGATGCATTTAAGAAGACTCCATTCTCAGAATTGCTCGATTAAACTTGGAGCATGCCACGCAAGTCATGATCTCTTTGATGTCCTTCATGCTGGTTTCAGTTATTAAAATGTTATTACAATCTAGTCGACTTTTGTTGCTTGTTTTAGGAACTAAAGATGCGTAGTACTATGAGGAGAAGCAAGATTAGAATCTTCTTCTCTCTATTCAGCTTTATGTTTCCACAACTTATCTTGTTGCTGAGGATTGCTAGAAAACCCAATATGCTTTGCATGAATTTAGGGAATTAGATAGTTTGATCTACCAAGTGCTATTCTCTTTTCTCAACAGTTTTGTGCTCAATAATATATTGTTCTGAGGTTGAACTGCATCTCTTATTTGCTAACCTTCATTTGTCTATTTTGGGTTTTTAGAAGTGTTAACTTAAGACAATACTGCCATGGTTTTTTATAGATTTAGTTCTTAAATTTCTTTGCTTGATTTATGCTTGTGATGCTGTCATTTGAATGCCTATTTGCACAAATGCTAAACTGCAAATACCAAAATAGTTTCCACATTTGTAACTTGTTTTGTTTTCTTATATATTCTTATAATTCATCCAATTATCTATTTGTGTAGTTTATTCAAGTGGATATTATTAGTATGTAACAACTATATTGATCTACCATGAGTAGGTTGATGCCAAAAAAGCATGCCTAATGTCCATGAAGTGCTATAGAAGTCACAAATTTCAGAAATTAATATCTAATTTCAGAGATGCTGTAGATGTTATCCTCTTCCTTTTATTCCCTCTCCTACACTCTTCATCAATTAAATCAAAAATATTATGCATTACCAATCCTCATCTCCAAGATGGAAGAGCACAAGCCATTGTCTTCTACATCACTCTTCATCGGCATCATTATTTCCTGCTAAAGAATTCAGAAAGAACACTTGTAGATTAGTATGATATTTTCAAACCTTTTAAAGTAGCATTTATCATCAAATTCATGCTTCCAGACTTTGTGCACCTCCACATTACTCAGAAAATTATCTGCTTTATGCCAGCCACTAAATAGGTGAATGTAGAAGAGCATATGGTGTGCATACTTCTTGATGATGTCTACCTGGGGAAACCCTCTTGACCAACTCAAAAATGAGCAAAGGCTGCAAGAATGCTTGCACTATCTGCAGAACAACCAAACATGCACTTTTAACACTCGAACAGGATTTAGTCAGCAGAAACTGCACAAATTTAATCATGAAAGTGCCATGAATTTGTCTAAAAGAGAAATGATAAAAAAGCATGCATTGAAAAATATTTCTCAACGTCTCCCGAAACACAGTGATCCAGATGAACTGGATCAAAATCTCATTTCCTTGTGCTACACAGCAACCTTGTGAACTTTATGAACCAGAATACGTTAAGAGATTGATCCTTCCAGTTTTGGAGTATGTTCAGAAATAATTGCTCGTATAGAACTGTTTCAAAAACTCAGAAATCCCTTGTTCTTTTGTCCCCATGTCCTGCACTAGCCCTCCACGTCCGACAACATATTGGCCAATTAAGTGGTGTCGCTGCTTTGAATGTGTGACTATGTTGCTAAGTTCCTCCGTTCCTTTGAAAAGAAGCAAATCAATGACCTGTTTTAATATATCAGAACAAAACTGATTAGAACTCAAAGCTTGTTGCAGAAATAATAAAATTTAGACAGAAACAACCTCGACCAAAATAAGGATCTCGAATAAACAAAGGTTCTAGTTGCAGCAGGACTATTACAGAGCATAAAATGAAACACATTTCTTTCCTGTGACTATTTATGTCTGTCTGTTCAGCTGCATATCCTCTTTCCTGAAAAGATCTAGTCGCTAGCCCAAAATAGCTAGATTTCGTAGAGGTTCTTAAAGATTTTGATACTCTTAAAGAAAACTTGGCAACCATTATTTTTAGTCATCCAACTTGGGCTCTAGACTAACAGGATAACATCTACATTACCTTCGTTCTATAGCATAAACAGTACCTGCAAACAATTACACAGTCAACAGAAATCCAAATATATTAAGAAAGATAAAAGAGTGTACCAAATTCCATAGAAAATTTACCTGAAAATACATATAAACATGATAGTCACCCAATCGGACCCAAACTTGAATAATGTGACAACCCAGTAACTCCCACATGGAAAGTTCAAGACGGGTTAGAATGGTTCACATACAATACATGTGTTCTAAATCTAATCATAACTCAACTGAACCTGAACTTGAATGATGTGACACCCCATTAGACTATGTGGTGGTTCTAAGTAGGCTTATCAAGTTATTGAGTCAACAGGGATATTGGAGTAATTAAGGATTAAATAAGAATAAGCTAGAATAGTGTCGATATGTTTAAAGTTCTATAGACTATAAGTAGTACAAGAGGTAGAAGGAGATCAAGATGCCTTAACTATATTTAATAAAAAGAAATTTGAATGCATGGCTGAACTACAGTCATGTCAAAGTAGTTTTTCTAGCTCTGCTGCATTTTAAGTAGCTTTAGGATTGTGTTTTGCAATGGTACTGTAGAGATTTCCAGAAGATACTTGGGATCTACCTTTGGTATTGGTGGAGGCTTGAAGATGACAAATGGCTAGTGCACAAAACTGGTCTATCGAGGTGCGCTTTTGTTCTGCTTTGGAGAGTTTTGGCTATCATTGAGATTTGGCAGAAGGCAAGTTTCAACTACCCTGCAACACAAAAGCCTTGAAAGTGTTCATCAAAATAATAATAATAATTGTCAACAGGTTTTGGATTGAGAATGTTTCCCCAAGCAAATTCCTACACCATACAAGTGAACCAACAAAGGTTGCTAGAGTTCTCCACCGTCTTGTCGGTAAGATAGTAGTGACAGAGCGGAGGCAGATAATTTCCTTTATTTCTCGATTTTCTAGCTTAATAAAGGTCAGCAACGCCATCCAAACGGCCCAAAGATCAAAATGCATCAACATACCAACATAATGCATGACCTAAGAAGAAGCAAGCAGCCTATTTCCGTCCAAAATTATTATCAAATCATATATTGTGTTCAAAATTTAAACCCACACGACCAGGAGAAGACAAAGGTCGGGGAAGACATTTGAAATCAAATCTTGGCATGGAATAGGTCAAAAATCGGAGGATCCGAAACGGAAGGGAGAGGGGGGATGGACGGAAGACCTTTGGGTTGGCGATGTGGGCGTTCTTGCGGATCTCGGCGGAGACGGTGGAGCGGAGTTGGGAGACGGCGACGACGTCCTCGGAGTTGGGATCGGCAGGCCATTTTGAAGAAGTTGATCGTCCGCTTCCGGGCCTCCTCTCGGCTCGCCAACTTCGGAGGAACCTTCACCGTCTTCAACGCCGCGTAAGCCATGAGCCCCTCTCTCTCTCTCTCTCTCTCTCTCTCTCCGTACACTGTTGAGATGCGTACTAATGCCGATCAAAAGCACAACACAAAAGCCCAAAAAAGATTTCTGTTTTTTGGGTGTAGGGAGGGATATGAGTGTAATTTTATTTTTATCTTTTCTATTTTTGCTAGTTATGAACAACATATAAATATCTTAATTCTTGGTCTTCAAAAAGGAAAAGAAAATCCTAATTTGTTTCCTATCTTTCCATATATTATTAAGTAAAAAAAGAAAAAGAAAACATGATTCTAAATGTTGATCAATTTAGAATTTTATAAAATTATTATACCTTTATTTTGCTCCCAAATGAAAATAAAACTACTTTTATTGATGAACACATTTACTTGTGCACAAAAAATTTACGATCAACAAATTAATCAATCTTAGACCCTCTATCATACGATCGAACAATTTTTTAATCGATGCTAATAAAGTATTGTTATACTATTAACTTGTAAAGCATTTATTATTTGGTCTCAGAAGATTCATGGCAATGGAACTAAAAATATGGATAGAACATTAGCAAACCATTTAGATCTATCATTACAATACTTTTGTTAAAGATATACAACTACAGTCAATACACAATGGTGAAATATCAAGTTATGCTTACAAAGCAAAAGAAAAAAGAGAGGTGATGGCATAATGACTATACATGATCTCCTGATTCAAAGCCGCCATCGAACCGTAACAATTAGATCCAATTAGCCAGTTGATTTAGCAATATCTGCAATGGAACCTTCGGTGTAGGTCGTAAGATTGTGGAAGCAACGTTATCTGTCTCCTTACTCACGAGGCCGAGCAAGCCAAAGAGAGCTCAGGGCATGAAGCCGTGAGAAGTAGTCATTGATGGCAAGAAGTGCTCGTGCAGCTTGACGAGTAGTTAGTATCCGACACATTTGTTGTAGAGTCTGTTGCCGCAGGTTGTCAGCCTGGTAAGTGTATCATGATTTAGTCTTGGAGGTGAATGAAACTTTTTTTTTGGCTTCAACACTTGCTTGGAAGAAGTTAAGCAGTTGAACCACAGAAAATAAACATAACAAACAGTCGAAATGAATCCGAAGTATGGTTTATGCAACTCTAGAATAGGAATCATAGATTTCAAGCACGAGAAGTAGTTCACCTGGCAAAGGAAATTTTCGAGAGTCCCAAGTTTCCCCATGGCCATAGCCATCTGACCCATGTAGTTCGCAACGTTGCCTGAAGACCCCGAGGAGCCAAGAGACCCAGCCAATGTTTCTGCCAAAGACTGCTGCAGTGCCTCCATCCCCTGCGAGAGAGCATCCTCGGCCTGCTGAGAGGATTGCTGGAGATTGCACAGACCCATCAATTGCTGCTCTGTAAGTGGCTCTAGCTGACTTGTAAGAAGCTGAAAAGTCACCATTATGAGAGAAGATAATTATAGATAAACAATCTAGCAACCAAAGAAAATGAGAACAGTTTTTGCCATCCACAACTATGGATTTCTTACTTCAAGTATTTGCTTGAAGAGTGAAAAGGGTAGTACAGAGCTGTACCTTTAGGAGTTCAGATGAGCGGAAACCTCCTAGCCACAGGAAACACCTCTCGGCAGGTGTCTTCCACATGCCTGATAACATGTGAAAGACATCTGCTTTTGCAGCAGTGCCCTTGAGCTTAAAAATCTCATCATAGTGTGCCATGATGCCATCCACAATAGCACGGAGGTCATTCTCACTGGCATGTGCATTCACGGCAGTCCTGAGTTCACTGATCTGCCGATTGTGCTCTTCTCGCCATCGTGCATATTCACTGTTAAAAGCCAACCCCTCTGCGAAAATAATTTTACTTGGTGTTTATGGCATTGACAAGTGCAAGTGTGCAACAGAGGATATCAATGTTAGTACACGGTCTGTTGATCAATGTTCCGATATGATTTTGCATTTTACATCAAGGATCTTTTTACCGGGCAGCATGTCCTGTAGCGGCCAACGACCGATATGGTACAAACCATTAGCCTCCCCTGATATCAGGCTAGCCGATAGCACGATGCAGCAGGAAGAAGGGAGAAAATATGAGAGAAAAAGTACTGAAAAAATCAAAACAAAACTACTTGGTCACTTCCAGTTGATGTTATCTGAGTTTTTTTGGCACTTGGAACTGAAAAATTTTAACCTAGGAGCCTGATTGGTCCATTACCCGAACAGGTTTAACTGAGGATTTTGTTCTGCATGACACAAGAGGTCCCACGCATTGTAGGACAATTGTCCTTATTGGATAGAGATGTTAAATGAAAGAATGGTGTTATTATTTCTTGCATAATCAATTTCTCCGTTCAAGAAGAAACTATGTGAATTTAATGCTTTGCAGTGATACATATGACACTATTTTTGAAAAATAACACGAGCTATTTAGTTTCTTTCATTTAAACTTGACAATTATGTTGTCAATTATGTTATCATATGTCCAAGATAAAATCTTGACAATTATATTACAGGATGACATCTTCCAGAGTCGGCTTTCTCGACAGTTACTTTGAAATAGTGTTACCATACAAAGAAGATATCATGTTAATTAGTAGAATAGGAAACCACAATAGGCACCAAAAGTATGCATTGACAACATTCAGTAAAGTTAAACTATTTGCTGATAACCAAACAGGATTCACAGTTCTTGTAGTATTCAACATCATATTAAGAATCTCAGGGGACAGAACTTACCGTTTCCACTCATTGCATGGGATTGATCTCCTGAGCTAGAAATAAAAATTCCCTAGAAGATAGATTTTTTGATTAAGATATCTAATACAATTTTTGTGAAGAAAACTGATGCATACTGTTATAGATAGATGGCGGTGAAACAAAAAAAAAGAAAAAAAAGAGATAAGACCATCACCTGCTGTCGAGCATGTTGAAGCTCCTGCTCAATGTGAGTAAGTTTCAGCCTGCTACCCTCTAGTTGTTGTACATATGCCTGGCAAATATAAGCGTCAAAACTCAATACACCAAACTAATTATATAGGGCTTACATATTGCAACCTATTGATGAAACAAGATGCCAGATGTGTTTGCTGAGTTTAAAGTATCTTTTAATGAAACCAATATCAAATAACATCTTAGTACAAGCAAGCAATAAGGCATATTATCAATTGTTTAACAAATGAATTGGGACACAGATTGGGCGGTTGGAACAAAGGCTTATGCTACCTAATGCTCCATGTCTGTAGTAAAACCAAGAAAACTGAAGCGTCACATAGTGAAGTGAGACCATACTAGCAGTCTTGAATTGTTCAACAGTATCTATTTGAAAAAGTAGAGAATGGTGCATTTAGATATTGTATATTGTCCACACCATGGTACCAAACATCGTTCAGACTGGTATGATGTATAAATCAATATCGGTGTGACCAGGAACCAATACAATCCCATGTAGCTCAGTACCGGTCATTCTTTTTGTATTATCTCTTTTACAGTGATGCTGTAAGGTATAAATTAGTGTATATTCTTTTTGTATTATCTCTTTTACAGTGATGCTGAAAGGTATAAATTAGTGTACTGGTACCGTAACTGGTCTGACAAAGTTCTTAACATGGGTATTGGATCAAGATTTTAAACCTTGATCGAAATATCATGGTTTAGACCAAGCATTTCAATAGGTACGAGCTAAAAATTTTACTAGTTGAACTGTGATCCAGTACATAGATTACCAATATTTATCTGGTTTTGGTTTCTACTAAGCTTGTTACCTTACTGTGCAAAGTGTCCGATTTTAACTGGTGGAATGAGGTGCACTGGGCAGTGAGCCTACCTTTGTATATTATTTTTTATTTGACATCTATGACTTCTGGTTAATAAAAAGTTAAAGAGGGTCAAAAGTCTTTTCTTTCATTTTCCTTATGATCCCAATGCTAATAGACTGAATAAATAAAGATAGTTACGAATCTTATTTGGAGAAACGACAACGAGATTAAATATATTGTTGAGTGACCTCGTGGCAAAAGATAAAAACCCTAACTAAACACAACTAAAAAAATTCAGCATCAGAAATAGATAAATAACCTTTTTCCTTAGCCGACTCTTTCTTGCAGCTTCACGATTTTGTGCAAGTCGACGAAGTGTCTACGCAACAACAGTATTCAGCATAAGTAAAATTACTCGTGCGCATAACTAACGTATCAAAACTATGTGTGTGTTACCTTTTGATCCCCTGTTTTCTCCTTGGTCTTGTCACTAGAATCAGAAGCTGCTATTGCAGCAACTTGCCCTCTTTTTGGCTGCAAATTAAGAGATAAAAAAGATCCATCACAAAAGGAATCTACTTATCATTTGCCAATGCTCCATGTACAGAAAATAGGTAGAAATCCCTAAGTTGCTAGGCAAAAGAATGGTAACTTGAACTCCTCCCAATTAGCCACACCTTAAAATATCCCTATCACACTATGAATTGATTTATCTAACTAATAATCTCGTGAGTTACATAAAGCAAGATGTCAAACAAGGCAAAAGCTTTATGTAAGATTGTTTCCCAAAGGCATAGGTAGGATGGCAGCATTAATACTTTAAGTTAATTTCATCCTAAAGAGAGATTGGTTTACAACTGTAAGGTTTGGGAATATAAGTCTAAAAACATGCGATTAAATCCTCGAGGGCATCTTTAACCTACTGTTTCCTGATTACTCAAGGATGAAAAAGGTGGAGTGTTGCATTAGGCCATTGAAAGCTGGAGTAAGACTATGTCAGATGCAATGAACATGGATCTTCTCCATTTAATATATTATTTCACCGATAAGATTTTTAGTTTTTAATTACACTTTTGTGAGTGTTTCTCTCTACCATGATTCACAACCCTAGTAATGAGGCAAAATCCCTGCCAGTTTGTATTAAAGAATTCAAGGATCCACATCTCAGGAAGCTTCTATATCACCATGTTGGAGCACTCCAACAACACACCATCAAGAGTAAAGGCTACATTTTGGTAGATGGGATGATCTTATTTGAACACCTCAACCGCTAGGGTGGAAAGAATTGAAAGCGGATGAAGAAGCAAGAAGAAGACGATTGGTGTAATGCAAGTCCTACACTAATCAGCAAATCTTAGCACCAACGAGCAACACATGGAAGTATCAACAAGTAGTAACCTCTGTTGGCAAAGGGAAGGATACTACTCGTGAGTTTTTCTTGCCCTTTGCTGAATGTAACAAAAATTTGTCGAACTAAAACTTGGTAGGCATGTCCTATCCGTAAATAAGTTGGGAAAGAAAGGATAAACAATAATGTGATTTCTCCTAGCTCAGCAAACAAAACAAAAAGCTGCTAAATCAGTCAGTTTATAATCAGTTGAAATACAGAATACAGGAAAAACGGATTTTCTAAAGAAACCAGTGTCTTTTACTGAAAGTGTTAAGAGGGAAAGAAGACCACCTTATGATTTTTGTCACCAGCATCCACATCTGTTGAAGCGTCTGTCCTCGGGCTAGCATCTGCCATTGTGGTCTCACCCCAGTTTTCAAACTGACCACTAGCAAGTGAAACCAGATGAGGTCGCTGCCCCTTGTGTAGGGGCACCGTCGACGATCCAACTCTGGCTGTCGATGTAGAAATATTACTGATTCCAAGAGGCTGTTGTTGGACAAAAGACGAATCAGGACACCATTTCTTAATAGAGAGCAGTTAGACCACTCCTGTCGTCAACATTTAAGATACATGCCAATAATGTAAACCTTACTTTACTAAAATTATCAAAATGAGAAGGACCAGAAATACTGGTTTGAACACTAGGTTTTGGATTAACTTCAGGATCTGCAAACACGAAAAAGAACAAGCCTTTAGTGACATCCTTTGGTTTAGGTCATACAGATATTTTCCACCATTAAAAAGAAGAAACAAGAAAGATTACAAGCCACGTCAGTTCCAGCATGGACAGAGACTCCTATCAGAATCTCATTAAGGAAGTTGTGTATCACTCCCAAGATGAAACCACCTCTAGAACAAGTTGAGTTGTCCAATTAGCTTGTGTCAAGTTTCAGTGTGTCATTTCTAGAGTATGGCATTTGAGACACACAACAAGCAAAAGATGCAAAAGATACCTCAACTCTGGATGTAAGGAGCCCAAACACACAAACACACACACAAAAATTTTCTAGCGAAAACAGAATGTAAAACAATTAACAATTTGAACAAATTTACAAAGAGTTGGATCAAAAGATAACTTACTTCTGATGAAATCAGCAGCTGCTTCTAAGTTGCGCCCGACAGATTGCTCAAGCATGCCAAAGTCAGAAACTCTAGATGGATGCTTAGTGTTCCCCTCCGCGACACTATGAGAGAATAAGCTATATGAGTTAGTTGGATGAAATGACACAGAAAAGCTAAAAATAAATATCACGAAGAAATTAAACTATTATCATTTTATGAAGTACAAAGTGGAACAATAGTTAGGCTGAACGTAATTTGTGTTTGCATTAAATCACCCTTTACTATCATCAATCAAAAATATAACCTAACCTCAACCCATCTATATTAGCAACCTCTACTTTCTCTGTTTGTAGTACCAACACATGCCTAGCGGATGCAATTTGGGAAAGAAAGACAATAGCAGCGAACTCGACGGCTTCTGCTTCCAAAAGAACTGGAGCAGATAACAACGATACTCGAGCATAGAAATCATGTCGGAAAAGAACTGAACTCGAATCAAGTCGAGCCAAAAAAGGTCTTATTTTGACCATGAAACAAAACATAGCAATAACAATAAACGACCGAGAGATTGGCGTACATGTTCTGAGCCACCGGTGAGGAAACGAAGCTCGGCATCCCGCTCGCCGCTCGCTTACCGTCTTCCACGCCGACCCCGCCTTTCCTACTCCCCATCCACCATCGCCATCATCAACGACCACCGTGGCCACCTAGCAAACTCGAACACCCCCCAGAAGAAAAAAAAAAACCTATAAAACCACGAAAGCTCGAAGCTTTCTGCCGCAGTAGCCCTCACAAGCCTTCCCAATCCCCCAGAATCACCAAAGAAGAATCCAGAAGCCTTCACAGCGTACCTCTCGATCCCAACAAAAATTCCTCGTCAAGGAGGTGCAATCGTTGGAATCCACCTAGATCGAGGATCCTTGATGATTTCGGAGAAGAAACAACAAATTCGGCTCCCCACAGAATCCTAGATTTTGCGGGCGAGGGTGGCGTGACCACCGCACTCGCCTTCCACGGCAAATCTCACCGTCCCTTTGACTCTCTCTCTCGCTGTCTCTCAGACACACAAAAAGACTACTTTACTCACCGAGAAGCACGACCCTTCTCACCTCTACCTGAGGAAGGTGGGCCCCAGAGGGGGGCCCGCCTCCAACTGCGGGAGAAAAAGGTCAGCGTTTTGGGAGAGGGAAGGGAAACGCGGCAAGAAAAACAACAGTAATCTGTGGAAGCCGGTGACGGCGGAGGCGCTCCGACCTCCCCAAATCGTCTATCTCAGTGAGCTTGATTCGGCTGGGGATTCTCTCCTTCTCTTTCCTCTCCTCTTTGATGATCTGCTGCGGCTTGAATCGTGCGTCTCAGATGGTGCGCTGGAAGTTGGCGATCGCTCTCAAAGAGGTGTCAGAAGATGGGAGGAGGCTGTGGATTACTCAATCATTTGCGCATGATCTAAGTCATCGTGTTGTTGTTGGTGACAGCCAACTCTGCTTGTCGTTTGATCGCAATAACGATCCCAGTTTTGCTCATTCAAAGCTTCAATCTTTGGCCATCAATCTGAAGAAACAAAAAGAAGCTATCTTTGGAAGAGAGAAACACCAAACTGTAATATTATCTCAGTATTGTTTGACCTAAAATTAATCTCATAAAAATATGATTTTTACGATGATCTATCAAAATCAAAATCAAAATCAAAATTTTTGATAGCTTGAATTTAGTTCTAAACTATAAAAAAGAAATACAGAGTAAGAAATATTTGATGGCCTTTACATCTTGCAATTATTAGACCTGTGAAGAGGTTTCCACCTTTACCATCCCTTCCCTTCTCATGTTGCGGGCATGATTGATAAGATCTTGTCTCTGACAACTCCTACTGCAACCACAAGCAACTTTTCTCCAAAGTTTCTTCCAGAGTATGAACAGTGAAGTCCACTCTTGAGGTTGTAAAGATAAGATTAACAAAACAACACTGCTTTAATCACCCAGACAAATTAGTCAAACATCTAATTACACTTCAGCATCATGGGAGAAGAAGCAAGTCAAATCATCCATGCACATCAAGTGAAGTCTGCTTCATGATCAGAGGATATCCGAGTTCCTATAAGCTCAAAAGATTGACTGACCCCTAAAATCCGTATGAAGTGACACATCTAACTAAAAGCTAAATCAGAAGTTAGCTTGCACAGTGCTGTTCTCTAACTCATCAACAAGTTGAAGCTCTTCCCACATGCAGTCAGTGATCTGTTTCACCCGATCCTTCATTTGTTGTCTTTCTGCTCGGTTCAAACAAACACATCTCTTCTCTTCTTCTGGTTGGGTTCAGGATCTCCTTTTCTGATCATGGCCACAAACTCATCATAGTTGATTCTTCCATCCTGAATGGTAAGTGAATGGCGAGAGGACCACATTAGCTCATCATAACATCAAACAACTACTGCAATCTATGGTTGATTTCTTACATTATCAGCATCTGCTTCAGAAATGATGTCCTTAATTTCCTCCCCATCGCACATTCCCTTCTCTTTGAGAGCTTGCTCGAGTTCCTCCTTGGTGATGTAACTAAAGCAAAGAAAAATTACAAGGGTTGGCATATTGGATCGGCAATTCTGTGGATGTGGAATTCATACTGCATCGATTTTTGTTGAGCTTACCCGCTGTTATCCTTGTCAAAGAACTGGAATGCTGTGTAGAGATGCTCTTCTCGGTCCATTCGATTCATGTGCACTGTTGCAGTGATGAATTCTTCGTAATCTATAGTCCCATTTCCATCTGCATCAGCCTGCGTCGAGGAGGATCAAGGAATGTAGCATTTTGTCATTTGCATTTTCTAAAAGGAATTGAAATGCCTCAGCAAAGAACATACAGCTTCCATCAATTGTTTGACTTCATGTTCGGAGAGCTTTGTTCCTTGCTTGGCGAGGCCTTGCTCGAGTTCTTCCAGAGTTATGGTGCCACTATTGTCAGAGTCCATGTTCTTGAACATCTCCTTCAACCCCTTGATCTCTTCCTCCGACAGGCAGCCTGCTATCACCTGTAGAATCAGAAGACAGGATGTAAAATCGAGCAAATTATGAATATTTATTCTATTACCTGCAGAATATAAACAAAAGGAAATGAGTTCCAATGTCAGTTTCATCAGATCTTGTTAGTCCAATTGACAATGTTAACAAATGATGGTGTCAATTTGAGAGCATCAGATGCAAACACTGATCACCTATATAGGAATGTCTTTGAATCCCAATTTCCTGCAATATCTGTGCCAGAACTCTCAAGTAAGCTTACCTTCAGAGCAGCTTTCTTGAATTGGTTCATTGCTTGGAACTGTTTGAGCCTGTTGAGTACAGTGTTATCAAGAGGTGTGTCTGGTGCTTCTCCATCTTCTTTAATCCAAGGATGGTCTGCAGGAGAGAAAAATGTGAGAGATTGTACTGGTTATAGTATCATGCATCATCAAAGGCATACAATTTTTTGATTAGTATTCTTTGGAGAAACTTCCCTTGAATCCTCTTTAATATTTATAAATGAAGATAAAATAGGGGATGATTAATGCCATTCACATGACAATTGTTATTTGGAAGTAGAAGCAATAAAATGTGATTCAAATACGTCTACTTCGCTACATCGATGATAAAGAAACTTAAACAACCTGAAACTGAACATGAACAATTTCAAGTATTCATGCAATATATCATCAAAAAAGTGCAAACATAACAAAGAAATAAATTTATGCGTGATTCCGAGGTGAAACAACGAAAGATGTAGCTAATTCCAGAATCCAATAAAAGAAGGAAAAAGGATTGTGATTACTCAGAACATCGAATGCTGTCAATCTCTGATTTGGGTCTGAATTTAGCATCTGCTTCACAAGATCCTTCGCACCAGATGAAATATTAGGCCATGGATCGCTCACAAAATCGATCTCTCCTTGTAGGATGGCATTGAAGATGCCACGTTCCGATTCTGCCAGAATTGACATTACAAATTTAAGTTTCATGTCTGTTCTTTTTTCAATGTTTTTCATGTAAGGTATAACAAGCAGAACAAGTAAATTATGAGTAAAAATTAGAAAGAAATTTACCAGCCCAAAAAGGAGGAACTCCACAGAGAAGAATGTAAAGCATCACACCGATGCTCCAGATATCAGCTTCTGGTCCGTATTTTCGCTTCAAGACTTCAGGTGCTATGTAGTATGCACTGCCGACTATATCTCTGAATACTTCACCTGTTGAGACTTGAGAACATCATCTTCCATTCAAGATTCAGTCATACAATTCTTCCATAGTCCAAAAATGTCAGAAACAAAACCTATCTTTTAACTTAAAATCGTAGCACAAGCAGTTATTCAGTGCAATACGTCGTAATTAAGTCAGAGAAAACACTTTTTGAAGGGGAAGTATTGGAACAGTGAATCTTAAGAATGAAGAACATCTTTGGTTTAAGTGCTTCATCATCAAACTAACAGTCACTGACTATTTACTCATGCATTAATTTGCTACCGAATGAACAGGAAAAATACAACCAGCTACGTTTTGTTCGATCAGACTTATATGACATGTATAGCACAACCGCAATGAATCTTCACCTGTGTAGCCTACTTCTAACTATCAATAGAAGAAACAATTCAAAAAAAAGAACAGAACTTGCTAAGGTCTTTAACCTTTGCAGTTTATGATAAGAGGAAGCCATAATATGACTGAATTCCATAGAGAATCCTTGACTAACCTGTAGCTAAGGAAATGTTGTATAATTAGCAATGGGATCAGATTGTTGTGGTTGTGAAACTTCAGGTACAAATTCTAGGAATTTATAGGTGAAAAGGGCAAATTTTCGATAGGCAAATTATCCAAGAACAGGGTATCGATTGCGCGACTCAGAGAAGGGTTATTCGAGTTTATGTAAGAGGATATACAAGAGGATTATAAGTGAATGAGAATAATTCAAGGGTTCATTGATTCTATCTTTAGAATTTGATTTTCTTCGTGCATTAGATGGGAGTTGTCCGAATGATGTTAAATTTAACCTTTTGGTATGTTTTTATCTGTTAATCTCTATGCTTTCTTTTTTGGATTTCAGGTTTTTCTCTCCCTCTCCAACATTCAGCAACACGAAGAAACATAAGAACCAATAAATAAATATATATACTGAATGCAAAATAATAAGAACAGCAGGAAACATAAGACGAAAGAGATGAGTGAGTAGGATTGAATCAGACCTTGCTTGAAGAAGACAGAGAGGCCGAAGTCTGTAGCCTTAAGGGGGGAGTCCTCCTCCTTGTTCAGCAACAGGAAGTTCTCAGGCTTGAGGTCCCTGTGCATCACCCCCATCGAATGGCAGGTGTGGACGATCTGCACGATGGTCCTCAACAGGGACGCGGCGGCGAACTCCGTGAAGTGCCCCTGGGCGACGATCCTGTCGAACAGCTCCCCGCCGGCGCACAACTCCATGACGAGGTGCACCGAGTGCTTGTCCTCGTACGCCCCCTTCAGCTCCACGACGTTGGCCTGTCCGGCCAGGTGGTACATGATCTCCACCTCCCTCCTCACGTCCTCCACGTCCTCCTTGGAGGTGAGCTTCCGCTTGGCGATAGTCTTGCACGCGAACTGCTCGGCGGTGGTTTTGTGGGTGCAGAGGTGCGTCACGCCGAACTGGCCTCGTCCGAGCTCTTTGCCGATGGTGTAGGTGGCGTGGACGTCCTGCATGGGGCGGCCGAGCACGAGGCCGATGGGGGTGGGCGGAGGGGAGGATGAGGAGGCCGGCTGGTCCTGGGCGGCGACGTCGGGGGTAGCGGAGTTCGGAGATGGCGCCGCGGCGGTGTTCGGAGGTGGGCTTGGGCTCTTGGGCTTGTCCGTGTCATTGTTACCATGGGAGAAGCAATTGCCCATGGTGGAGGCGGAAGGAATGCTTGGATGCAACCAAGAGGGAGGCAGAGAGAGAGAGAGAGAGAGAGATGGTGGATATGGCGGGTGAAGGGAAAGTGAAGAGAGGGGGGTGGGAAGACGAGAGGGTATTAATAGGAGTGGTGAGGAGAAATTGGCGGGAGTCAACTGAAATTTGACTATTCAGGGAAACAATAATCCTATAAAAGAGAAATAGGTCGAAGCACATTTATTAGGATGCCAGTGGTGAAGTTAGCTCTTCAACAGATTCGAGTACTATATTATTAGTCAAATTATGGAACAAATTCTCTCTTCATAGACCATCTTTGTCTTCATTTTAGATAAGGATTCTTTCATTCTTTTTATAGTATTAAATTAAACTAATTTATTTTTTAAAATGAAATTGTATATATATATACAAAGAATAATTTATTTATATTTTATTTGATTTAGGGGTATTGGAAAAGAGAGATAAATCCAAAACAAAAAAAAGTTGATGTTTTTGAAACCTGATTTGATTTTGTATATAATTTAAGAAAAGTTGCAATCTTGCAATCTCATTACCATAGTCTAATGAGAAGTTAATGAAGAAACAATTTTTCAGGGAGAATTTATTTGGCGAAGTTTTATTAAATCATTTAACCATTATCAAGAAATGGAGCCTAACTGCATCCTGTTAATGATATGTTTCAACAGAACAACCTGAGGAGATATACTTTGAGACAAAATTTAATAATTAGAACTCACTAATATTTAGAACAATCGAAGAGACTAAATTCTCTAAGTCAAATCCTGGTGACTCTGGTCGTGAAAGATGATCCGAAGACTCGACCTTCATCATGTATTATATATATATTGTATCGATACATACTATTTCAAGCTGTCATCTGGAAGTTACCACTCTTCGTGCACTATATGAATGGGTATTATTATTTGCCATTCCTGCAATTTGTGATGGGTTGATCTTATCAGTTTTCATCAGTGGAGGCAGCCGCAGCAGCAGCAACAGCAGTCTTTGCTCCTTCAAGCATGCACTTCGGTGGCCAACAAAACGTAACTTCTTTTGTTGCTCGGTTGGGTTAGAAATGGTTTGAACGTCAGAAGGAGCCCAATTAGTGTAACCACATTGAGTAGAAAGAAAACCGCATGATCACCTGCATTTTAAAACAACAATCAATATAAAATCATAAGCTCACTAGATGATGGAAATAATATCTAGTTTGCATGCATTCATCATTCAACTTCATGAAAATAATATTGTGTGAATGGCAGAGGCTTTTGCAATGATACAAGGCTTCATAGAGAAGCAAATTATACCTGGTAAGAAGGAAGCCTGTTGACGCTTTTGTGCCCATGAAAATCTGCAAACACACATAAAATTACAATAATAAATCATCCATAAATCTTGGTCGATGAGGTTTCCTTAATGTCATCATTTTAATGCCCCCTGCATATGCAAATTGTAAGGTTCATATAAAGTTCAACACGAACTGTTGACAAGATTCACAGTGAAGATTTAGTCGAGTATTACCAACCAAGCATCTGAAGCTTAAGATGATGACGATTTCACCTGTTTAATTGAGTTGTATGTTGGTAACAAAGTATCAAAGGTTAATCTCCATATATTCAGAAGCAAGGTATGTGGTACCGCTCAGTTTTTTCCGGTTCAATAAAGGAAAGGTACTGATCATTATAATTATCTAATTATTTTTTGGCTAGTACTGAATAGTACAGGTCTGTATACTGCTTGGTACACTAATAACATACTGGTCCGATAAACAAAATTGGTACTGAACATGATAATACCTTGATTGAAAGTCCATCTGACTAACAGTAACCTACTTACGGTTTAGATCAAATAGCTCTATATCACCCAATGGGAAAAATATTATAAAATGAGCATCCTGGAAATTTCTAAAGACCAAAACTTACTTCCATCAGATTTACCATAAATCAAGTTCAGAGTTGATGACTAAACAGTGGCAGCATCATGTTACAAGACTCTACTGACGTACAACCTTTTGGTGAACAAATTAATGCACAACAACAACAATATTATCCTCATAATACTGTACTGCCAAGTAAACGAGAAATTCATCAGATTTTCCTCATAACATTGTTTGTTTAATAAATTGAAACATGAACTGGTGTCGGGCTTGAAGCAGTTTGATTATTGATATGGCTTGTGAATTGAATACCATAAAATTAACAAACCATAGAAAGAATGAAGCAGAAAAAAACACTAAAGAAGCTGCGGATAAATAAGTGGTCTATACATATTTGCTTACTAACACTTACACTATCAGGTACTAAGTAACGTGTTCTGTGAAAAAGTTGATAATAACTACTTACAGAGCCCCTCCACCTGCTGGAGCGACAGCTTTAAAAAGAGACATTGCAGTAATAGAAATACCATTTGCAGCACCTCTTTGATGCCGAGGCTGTGATAGGGAAGTTGCGAAAATGTAGTTCAAAAAAACATCTTCAGTGGCTAATATAAGTGAGTGAATCTTAATAACAAGAGTAGAGAATTACCACAGCATTATTCTGTAGGATGTTGAACCCATTAATGATGGTTATCTGATTGAAATACGATTAACTTGAATTAGAAGAACAATATAATACACAGAAGAGAAGTATTGGATAAAAGTATTAACTAATGTAGGTATTAAAGTTAAAATGTCGTACAGATTCATTCATGTGCATCATTATTATTATTATAATTTTTCCAATTCCATCCTCTCACAAAGGCATACTGTTGAATGCAAGGAATCAAGTGCCCAACTCGAGTAATCATATTGACTGGTGTTAGCATTATGCAGCAAACTGGTTATACTAAATATACATAAATAAGGGAGGCCCAGTGATGACACTATCCCCAATATGGGGTCTGTTTCTCACTAGTAAACCATGACTTCTCACACTGGTGCACCAATGTATTGATATTTGGTACAGACTGATACTTAATTCATTGGTTACAGTTCCTTTGACATTGTTTAAGAGTCGAAGATCATGTATGGCTGAAAAAAAAATAATTACTTAGGATGAATCTAAAAGCATGTAAAAGCGGAACAATTAACTCCAAGGTTATTATACATGCCCCCGTATTTGCAGCGTACACAGAAGAAAAATCAGTGTTATTTTTTTGTCAGTGTGGACCAAAATTTTGGATCTAAATAAATTAGGTCCATTGAACATTTCTGTATTGTTGTGTGGCACAAACTATAGACTCACGTGAAAACCTGAATAAACAAGGCCATGATGGAGAAGACAAAACTTTAACCTGAATTTTACCAGAAACCAGCATTAAGGTCGAAGGCATAAACAAAATAATTTCCATAAACCTGATAAATCTAGATAAGTCATCTTTTTAGTTGTTAAAATTTGTCCTGTATTCTGATTAGATCATAATTCAATAAAGCTGGCATGAGTATGTCAAGTTGATATGTAAAAGCCAATTGCATCACTGTTTAGTAAACGATGATGGATGAATATTTAAAATTGTTTTAGCATACAAATGTTCCAATGTGATGACAATGTATTAATTTTTGTATGTAATGCTATTAGGAAGAGAAAGAGACAAATACTCACAGAAAAAGTATTCTTCAGGAAGGATGCACAGTTCACAATTAACTGAAGTTCTAATCCAGATAGCTTAGACATAAATGGATAACCGGCAAGCAATGGTATAGAAAATATCTGCACATAGAACACCTCTCATCAATAAACACTCAAAATATATTGACATGAAATGTCCACAATGGAAGGCATTGATTGCATACTGCTGCAACACGAGATGAAGTGATGGGTCCTAAATACTTCTCGAAGGGTGGATAAAGAAATATTTGATAAACCAGGAGACCAGTACCTAGTAATGAACAAGTCAGTAGGTACATTCTTAGTAAATCCCTAAGCTTAATTTCCTGAATCATTCACTATAAAGGATTTTCTTGACAAAAGCACAAATTAACTTAAGTAGATCAATAAGCTAAATTACTGCTTGAACTTTACATAAGCCAAGGAGATGAATAAAATTATGAACTATTTAAGTCAACAATTAGAATTTTTATTCAGCTGTATTCGCTAGCATCATATTTAAAGATCCCGTGCATTGAGACAGATGTATTTTGCAGTTTTCTAGAATAATGTAATTAAGCATCTTTGTGGCAAACTAGATTTGATAATAATAAGGGATAAATACTATTACAGTGTTCAAAAGATTTCATCTAGTAAGTGGAGAAAGCACTGAAATGTTAAATCTGGACTATTCTTTTTTATTTTAAGCATCAATACATGCCCCATTTCGGAGAGTTCAAAATAAGCAGATAAGTACTTTTAAGTCAGATGAAAATACAAATGCACCTCAGTTTAATACGCAATCTGCATACTTAACTTCAGAGTACATCTACACCACTTAATGATTTTCATCCTTACTGAATGTCATGTATTACTTCTCCCAGAGCTTAAGAATAACCTTTTTACCTGTAATCGCAAGTACTTCTCCAACAACCTGAGATGAAAAGCTCAAGCCACCATAAGATTGATTGCTCACAGCCCATAAGGAGAATATCTGAAATGTTGTAAGATGGAAACTTCTCACCAGGACATACAAAGAATGAATAAAAGGAACAAGACAATGGGAAGAAAATGTCTAAGTGGCAATTGAAAAAGATTTCTAATGTCTTCCATGCCCCATTTAGATATATATCAAAGGTACTTTGAGGATACATAGTGTATGCTTCCCAGGAAATCTTTGTATATATATATATATATATATATATATATATATATATATATATATTTTATACACTACTATAACAACAACAAACCATAATGTCTCAATTATTTGAAACCGACTACATGAATCTTGACACTTTTGAGTTATATAAAAAAAATCATTAGTTAAATTAAAGGTATTTAAATTTTTATTTATAGTTTCTACTAAAGACAAATTAGGTCTCCCCACCTCT